GGGAGGCTGAGGCAAGAAAATTGCTTAAGCCCAAGAGTTTGAGATTGCTGTGAGCCATGATGCCACAGCACTCTACCAAGGGTGACATAGTAAGACTCTGTCCCAAAATAAACAAACAAATAAATAAATAAATAACATGAAAATAAATAAAAATTAAAAGCAAGATGCCACTTCATTTCTAATATCGAGGAGACATTTCTAGATCTTCTTACTCTGTTGTCCCTGCTCACACTGTATGCACAGAATAACCCTATAAATAGCCTTACGCCAAAAGCCAAATCCTGACCCTCTGAATGCCTCAGTTTCTTTATATGCAAAATGGGGAAATCACAGTAAACACCAACCTCAAAATAATGAAATGTTCCTGTGAAGTGTTTAGAACAATGCTTAGCACATAGTATGTGTTAGCATTTTTTTATGAATAGTATGTGAATCAGATTTTTGAGCCACATTCTCATGTGTTTTTAAAAAAGCAACAGGGCTGGGCCTACTTTTCCACTATTGAGGCATCTGGGAAAAGCCCTTTTCCCCCCAATCTTAGGTATGCAAGTGTTTTTATTTTATCTTCAACTTATCATGAGCAACTGAGCTAATTCTGCAGAACAAAATCTACTAAAATCAAAAGGATCTGGCCAAGGACAGCTGAAGGTTACAGGAGGCTCCCCTGGTATGAGAAACCCTCTGTAGACAGGATATGTGGCCTTTCCTGGCTGGGTCTCCTGCACCCAGCATGGTTTGTTTTCCAAAGAACCTTTTGACCAAGGCAACTATATATCTATGTGTGTACATATATATATATATATATATATATGTGTGTGTGTGTGTATATATATATATATATTAGCAGGGGGCAGGGACAGAATCTTATTCTTTGCCCTGGGTAGAGTGCTATGGTGTCATCATAGCCCACAGTAATCTCAAAATCCTGGGTTCAAGTGATCATCCTGCCTCAGCCTCCCTAGTAGCTGGGACTACAGGCACTATACCACCACATCCAACTAGTTTTTCTATTTTTAGTAGTGATGGGGTCTCAGTCTTGCTGAGGGTGGTCTCTAATTCTTGAGCTCAACACTCTTCCCACCTTGGCCTACCAGAGTGCTATGAGTATATGTGTGAGCCACCACACCTGGCCAGCCAAGGAGACTTTTATCTTTGCCTTTATCTTTGCTGCCCCTACAACCTAGATTGGGCATTAAGTGTTAGGAAGATTTATTTGTAAGGACCCTTCCCTTTATTTTTCTGTTTCTGAAGCCTACAGTCATCTAAGTGGGCTTTCTGCATCTCCGCTTCTGAAACCCAAAGCCCTAAGACTCACCAAAGCCCTAAAAGACTAAGGCACTTGCGGGGAAAAGGACTGATAATTACCTCTATTCCTTGTTCTTTGTTCCCTTCTCTACTTTTACCAGAGAACCCACCTCCAAATCTTTTTACATTTAGGGCTGGCGTAAACCCTAACATCTGAGGGCAGGCCTTCTAAACCCAGGGACAAACCAAAGGGTCTTCCCAATATCTCCATCTCATGCTGCGTCTAATTCACTGATACTGTATCTTCTTCCCCTTGCCAAACATATTTTAGACTTGAGTTCACTCTATTTCTTTCTCCAAAAATTTTTTTTTTTAATGAAATGGACCTGGCACATGGTATAAGGACATGGTACTATTGTTGGCATCACTGCTTAGTGATTTCTCGGTAAGGGCTAAGGACTTTTTGCACATGTTCTGCTGATTCCTTACAACAACCTTAAGGGGGATAGATATGTTATTACTTTGATTTTATAGAGGGTGGTCAGAGAATAACCAGAGGTAACTCTTCCATATCATACAGTTAGGAATTAGAAAATCAGGGATTTAAACCCACATTCTCTGCCTCAAAAGCCTATTGTGCTGTGCTGAGCAGGAAAGGGTGTCACATCACCACATTACACACAAACCAGCCACTGGGCCTTTATATTTTCTCCATCAAGATGACATTTAATTCTCTGAGCCAATATCTTGTCAGCCCCATAAAACACGATTTGCTTAGCTAGCCAGACCTCTTATTCCACACAGCTTGTCTTTCCATCTTTTACACCCCACTACAACCTGAGGTGTGACCGCTCAGCTCCTGGGCACAAGGGCAAGCTAAGTATATCTTAGCACTCAATAACTGCTAAGTTACCCTCATGGAAATGCTGAGAGTGGGAAGGGAGGTAATAGCCTCATTCTGTAGACTAGAAGCCAGCTGTAGCAAATCAGTGAACACTTACCACACTGTTGACTGGTCACGAGTTAGCTGGTAACATGGACAGTTTCTGCATAAAATTGCTGGTCAGCAGTGTGATAGGAGGTTAGACGCTCCACATGATTCTGTATTATAAGCAGCTGAGAGATGAGGAGGGGAGAAAGAATGAAATAGGCTGAGTTTGGGACAACTGGGGATTGAGACTGGGAGCAGTGAATTAGGGAACAGCTGGTAGGTAGCACATTGTTGACTGGCATTTTTACTTAGAAATTATCTGTGTTACAGGGTAACTTGTGACCAGTCAGCAATATGTTAACTGGGACTGCAGGCCTGGGTCATTTCAGAACCTATTCTATGATACAATCTTGGGTAAAATGCAGAAGTGTGCATTATGAGAAATTCCATGCACACATAGGGCGCTGGTAGGCAGCAGGGACTGCAGGCGGGCTTCTGTGCCAAAGTGAAGACTTGTCATCTGGCTCAGCCCCTAAGAGTCTCAGTGAGGAGCAGTGACAGCTCTGGGAACCCTGTCGCTGTCTCCTCACCCTGAGAGAGTAGTGGGTAACGAACTTCTCAGATCAGACCCTCAAATTCCACAGCCTGTCCACCTCCTGCCACCAGAAGGCACAGGAAAGCCAGGAGAGAGGCTTCCCTAAGGTCACTTCTTGGACTCTGCCTCCTGCCTCTTGCTAACTGATTTCCAAAATCTTTGCTTCTTGGAGATCTTTCCTGGCCTCAGGCTTCTTGCTTTCACCTTGATTCAGCTATCAAGAGATCTGAAAGCCAGGTTGCTTTCAAGTTTTATCTTTGACGTCCAGATTGCCTTAGGTATTCATGCAGTGATGTCTACCAGAGTCAATTGTTTTTAATTAATTCCACTTCTGTTTTGCTCCTCTCTTAAGAAACACATGCAGTTCTTTGATGCTGGCTGCTGTTGCTTCTGTATGTGATAAAATAATGAACAGAAATGTGTGAACTGCTGATAAAACTTTCTGGTTGGATGCCCCCATCTGTCCACTTCTTGGCAGCAGTTTTATAATTTCTGTCTTTGGGTTGAGTTTTATCTAGACATTCGGAAGGTTAAATGTACTTTCAGGCCTCCAGGAACATTGGTGCTGCCTCTGTGATGATTCTGTAAAGGTTGTGTTATTGTTTGAAAGTGCTGGTGAGCATTCAGTGGGCGTTCCCTGTTGATGTGGGTGCTGCCTTCCATGAGAAGGTCATTTCAGCTGGGGGAGTGGTGATGCCCTTCAGCACCGCCATCTCCATAGCAAAGCAGGGGTGATAAATTGAGCTGGTATTTCTCTGTTGCTGACATTTGCCAGCAATATTTAGCAGGTCTCACCTGGTACCTACCCCATGTCCAGGCCGGCACCGTCCCTCACTAAAAACCAGGCGAAGATCAGTGGGGAACCTGGTGTCAGAGGTTACTATTGTTGGAAGATGCCACCAGAAATAGAAGGCATCCCCCACCAGCTCTGGCCCAGGCTTCCCCCAAGGTGGGAAAAAGCTTTCCAAGGAGAAGAGAATGGGGCAAGGAAGGCAAGATGGGAGGGGCTTACATTCTTTAGGGCTCCTTTAGCTGGTTACCACAGGAAACGTCTTGCACACCTGCCACCCTCACCAACCACTGCAACTTAGTAGGATCAGTTCCCTTCCCAAGTGCATGTTAGGCTTTTTGTTCTTTCTGTGCTGATAAATTCTGATGCCTAGAGAGCATAGTGTGACAATCCCCTGCTGTCCACCAGGGTGCAGCACTGGACTTTCTCCCAGTCTTAAGTGGCCTCTGGGAGCATTTCTGGGCATCCTATAGAAAACATTTATTTAGGGCAAGGTTCTCAAACCCAAGATGACTTGAAAGGTTGTGGGTTCAGGAAAGACACATCCCTCCCCTTGCCCCATTCCAGATGCCCCCTGAAGCCATCCAGGGACCATGAGAAGTGCTAACAATGGCAGTGGACATGGACCCTTCTCTGGTGACCCTGAGGCAGAGCAGTGTCAGCAGGTCGTGTCACCCCAGTGTGTGCTGGTTTCAGCATCCCTCTTCCTCTCCTCACTCTTCACTGCGGGCTCCATCCTGAGGCACAGTTCCTTCAAGGTCCCAAATTCCACCGACTATAGTCAAATCTCAATACTTAAACTTTTCTTCCCCCATCTTGCCATACTTCTACAAGGTAAAGGTGTCCTTTGTAGGTGGGCAAGGTTTGATGGTGTAATAGCTTTCTGCCTCTGACCAGTGTGGGTGACCAGTTGGTAAGGAGAAGGTGAGAGTGAGTGTGTGACAGTCATAACTCTGCCCCACTGTGCATAAGCAACAGAGATCGATGCTGGCCGGGAGTGTATGTTTTCTCCCGGCATGAATGTTCATCCTTCCCTTAGTATTAGAAACGTGAGCTCTTCTTAGCTAATGAAGCCCTTGACGAAGGATCTCAGTACCAACACCTCCCACACCAGAGGAGCTCAGCCCCCTTCTAGGCCCAATAATGCAGAAGTGAGTAGGTTGTTTCTGCCAATGTCTTTCTCCCTCTGGCTCCTGTTCTCCACATCACACCCACAAATCTTCCAGTATTCTCCATATTCCCCTGTGCACCAGGGACACAGATAGAAGAGTCACTTGAACTAGAGTGACCAACTCAATTGTAATGTCATAGCACCATAAAAACCCACCCCACGACCCTGACCACGTAGACAGAGACCCCGTGCAGAAAGAGCAACCTTTATGTCCAAAAGAAGATGTAGACGTTGTGACACTAATATCTGTATGTTTCTGTCCCTGCAGCCTTAGGAAAATCCAAAGGTACGGTATCCTCTGGTAGCTCTGAGGCCGGTTCAGTCTCTTACACTCAGCCAGCTCTGCGTTCTAGTGAGCTCTGTGAGAGGGTGAATGTGCAGTGCGTGGCTGCTTGGCCGGCTTACTTGAAGCTGTGAGCCCATCATGAAAACATCATCTGAGCCCAGAGGGCCCATAGGATTAGCAGCCCCTTCCCTGCTGTATAGGCAAGCAAGAGCGACCCGCAGAGATGTGACTTGGCCAGGGTTCCTGAGAGCAGCAGAGCCGTAAATAGACCCCACCTCACAAGGATGTGTATTTATTTAGTTATCTCCTGCTGGTCAGTTCCACGGTCTAGCAGCTCAGTGTGGCCCCTTTCCTACCCTGCCCACCTCTGCCCCCAACTGGGGAGGAGTGAGCGCCCCCGCTCCCCACACTCCCCACAATTGGTGGAGGAAGGCTTGGATTCTACCCCCAGGGAGCTTGTCAGGCCATTATCCTCAGGCCAGCTGGCTTTGGCAGAGGTTTGACTCACAGCTTGTGGACGCCAGCGCTGCTGCACCTGTGCCCTGCTCCTTGCCGCGGTGAGAGGGTCGCACTGGCCAAGCTTGGGCTGCCCAGGGCGGGTCTCAGCCATCCTGAGCAGCCGGGCGCCCGGAGCGCTGCCCCCAGCGCGTCGCTTCCCGGCCCGGGGTGCTAAAGCTGCGCTACTGCCTTCTGACACTGACCCGCTTGAATGTCTCCGCTTCGAGGGGGGGAGCCTCGCCCCGTCACCTGTCGTCACGCGTGGGTAAGAGGTGTCTTTGTGTCCCTCGCCAGCATGGGTGTGAGGGTCATGGACACCTCTTGGGTGGCTCGAAGAGGCTCCTCGGCCGGTCGGAAAGCGACATGCGCTCCGCCCTCCATGCAGCCGCCCGCCCCGCCCGCAGAGCTCGCCGCACCGCCGCTGTCGCTGCAGTCACTGCCGTCGCCGCTGCCGGAGCAGCCCCTGGACAGCCCCGCGCCACCGCCCGCGCTCTCTCCTTCCGGTGGGGGCCTGCAGCCTGGGCCCGAGCGCGCCAGGTAAGCGCGGGCCAGGGCCCTCCGGGCTGTGCGGGAGCCGGGGCGGGGAGGCTGGAGGGTGTCTGGGCTTGCCGTGCTCAAGGCCTCTTGGATTGGGGGCCTTCACTTCCCAGTCTCTAAGCTCTCATGTTTGGCTTTCTGGCACCATATTAAGTGATCCGCAGCTCCCTGGATTACCCGATGAAGTCCTGACTTTCCAAGAATAGCATCCAGGCAGACATATGGGGGGCAGCTTACTTTCCGCGATCTATAGTTCCCTTCCTCTGCCTTTTTGTTGTTGTTGTAGTTTTTTTGGCCAGGGCTGGGTTTGAACCTGCCACCTCCGGTGTATGGGGCCAGCACCCTACTCCTTGAGCACAGGTGCTGCCCAACCCTTCCTCTGCCTTTATAATTACAGCGGCACCCCCTTACCCATTCCATGACCTCTGGCATGTGTCTGAAATCTCTGCATGTACAGTGGCATCTCCATAGCTGACCACCTGCCTACAGTGAGCACTTCCTTGAGTTGAGCTGATTTTCACAGACAGGACGCGGACCCCATGTATGTGTCAGTAGGAGGCCTGGTTCCTTGTGTTGACCCCTCCATATGCCCACACCTTTGTTACAGTCCCTTGGGTGGTCCACTTACAGAGATTCTACTATGGTATGTTTTTTCCTATACATACATACCTATGATAAAGTTTATATTTTTTATTTTTTTGAAACAGAGTCCTGGGTAGAGTGATAAATTTTAATTTATAAATCAGGCAGGCTTGGTATCTGTGGCTCAAGTGACTAAGGTGCCAGCTACATACACCTGAGTTGGTAGATTCAAATCCATCCTGGGCCCACCAAACAACGATGACGGCTGCAACAAAAAATAGCCGGGCATTGTGGCGGATACCTGTAGTCCCAGCTACTTTGGAGGCAGAGGCAGGAGAATCGCTTGAGCTCAGGAGCTGGAGGTTGCTGTGAGCTGTGATGCCACAGCACTCTACCCAGGGTGACAGCTTGAGGCTCTGTCTCAAAAAAAAAAAAAAATCAGGCAAAGTAAGACCTTAAGAATAAGTAATAATAAAGTAGAACAAAAATAACACTGTAGTGTAATAGAAGACCTGTGGTCTTTCTCCCAAAATATCTTTTTGCACTGTACTCACCTATTTTTCAGGCCACAGTTAACTGCAGATAAATGAAACAGCAGAAAGTACGAAGCCACAGTTGGGGTTGGATGACTGTACTCTATTTTGAAAGTTAGAATGTTGGTGCTTCTTCGCTTTCTCTCGATGTGTAGTAGCCATTTTTGCTGCTAACATGGGCGCAAATCCAGGAAGGAGGGAGGGCAAAGCAACCATTGTGACCTGGTGACCTTCGCAGCTGCTGCACGGATGTGTTCTGTTCCTATAGGTGAAGGAAGAAGAGACAGAGAGAGAAGTCCATCTCATGGCTATGTTTTGTGAACATTAACTGAAAACTTAATCTGTCCAAAGATGAAAATACAATCACTGCCCTTATGGAGTTTTATCATTTCAGGGAGCAAACAGGTGCTGACGAATAATTACAGCACTCAGTACCTGGTCGTGCCTTGAGGAGGAAGAGAGACTCTGGATGTGGGAATTGCACTGTGAAACAACTTGGCTGTCTGTTTGTTCCCATTTGCTCTCAAACAGCAATTCAGAAAACTAGAAAAGCTTCTTCATATCATATGCTGCTTGCCTCCTGTTAGGGGCCTAGCATGCCTCCGTTGCCACTGCCAGGACAATGTTGGAGACTTTGGGAAGCTGAACCTTCTAACCTAAGACTTTCTCCAAACACACACACGTGCGCGTGTGCGCACACACACGTCTATGCCAACTCTCTAAATGGTGGGGGGGTGGAATCATAGACTTTTATTTAATGAGTAGGAAGTATTTTCACTGTGAAATTGGGAAGGACAAAGGGAAAATGGATGGTCTTAGACTCTGGGTGTTCTGGGGTTGTTGCTGTAGGCTTCAGCTCAGAGGGGGTGTGACCCTGGCTGTGCACTTGCGAGGTACAGAGGCAGCCGGCAGAGCACAAGTATGGAGGGCCGGTGTGGCTGACAGGAGGACGGGTGACTGGCGGGGATCCTTCCCTGTAAGGACACTCGCCGGCTTCATTCTCATTTCCCACTTTGTAAAGGAGACTTGGTGCCATATGGCATTTGGCATATAAATGACATTTCTAAAAATTGCCCCTTGAAGACGGGTTCTCCTAGGCTTTGAAAGCATTCCAGGGATGTTATGGCTGGGTGGTCTTGCAGAGGCCCTCTTGGCAGGGAACGTCCCCTCCTGGTTCACATTGTTGAAAAGGTCAGTCGCAGGGCCCTGCGCCCAGATGTCTTTCCGTCCCCTTGGCTGGGCTGACTGGTTTCACAGCTTTTCTTGAGTGTCCGTGTTCTTATTTGTTTTATACCACTCTTTTTTTCTCTCTCCATGTGGATTTTTCCCAATACAAACGGGTGTTCCATTGTTTTTGTTTGTTTTCTGTTTCCTGGACATTTGCAGCACAGATGATGTTTCCTGCAGTGGCTGGATTCCTGTTGGCTGCCCCTCCCCTGAGGGTGGCAGGCCCTTCCTTCCCGCTGCCTTGGTCCCACCTGCCTTCTCCCTACCCCAGGCCTCACCTTCAGCTCCTTCCCTGCTGGGCCTGGTGATGACCCTGTCCAGCCAGGCTTTGCCTCCTCATCCTGCTCAAACTGCATTAGCATTAACGCCACCCCCAAACTCTGCTTCCTGCTTCTGGCACCTAGCTCACCACCTGAGCCTTGTAGCCCCAGAACTAACCTGTCCTCACCTGTGCCTTAACCACGCCTCCTTCATCAAGCTCCTAATATAAACACCCCACACCCCACCTCTCCCCACTGGGTCAGCTGCATCTATGCTGGCGAGAGAGGACCAGGCTAAGTAGGTAAATACTTGTTTTTCTGCTGGGGAAAGTGTTTCAGGTGGGCGGGGAAGAAGGAAGAGCTCAATCTTCGAGTCCCTGGATAGAAGTCTTGTCTATCCAAAGGAAGGAAGAAGACTCTCACCCCACAAGAGGCAATGTTCCAATTTGCTTGTTGTAATTGTTCAGCTTTCTCCTCAATGGAGGCAGAGCTATATGGAAAGCTAGGCAGATACTTGGCATTAATGCCTGGGTACTGGTGACCTTGCACCTGAGGATGAGGGAAAGACAAGTGTTTGTTCATGGTTGTCTTCAGTTTTTATTAACAGAATAGAGAAAGAAATCACTATTCTTCTGGTGCCTCTGGATAAAATGGCTTTTTCCTCTTGGGAAATTTCCTGGTGTATTCTAAAACTCGTCTCAAGAAGGAGAGAATGTGCTACCGCCTTGAATATGGTCTTTCCTTTCTTCTTTCCCATGGGGCAGATGACTTGTGCATTGATGCTGCACGGCTCAGGTTCCTGCCCCCAATCTCTCCCCTCACTGGGCATGAGTGGTATATCCCTATTGGTTAATATTTGGAGTTTCTAGATAACTTTAAGGAAGAGGTAGGCATGGATTCTCTTGTGGGGGAAGAAGAAATAGCCATTGTGAAGGAGCATCAGAGTCCAGCTCGGTTCTAGGGTAGATGACAGATAACTCCCAATTCCAGGGCACCTGGCAGACTCACTCGGGGCTGCCTGAGAACACTGTGGAGGGAATGTGGAGATGATAAGTAGCATCTTCCCTGGATGGTGTGTTGACAATGGTAGGATGTGGCCATCTGCCATGTTATCTGCTGTCCCAGATCTGTTGAGCCAAGTCAAGTAGGGTGTCTTCCCATGTGAACCCTATGCTTTAGAGACAGCCCCAGAAAGAGCCTAGTGTAAGGAAGAATCCTGTTTAGGACCTGGTGACCTCAGGTGCCCCTTTGTATATTGAGGCACTGCAGAGACCAGACACCTCACTGCCATTGAGCCTTCACCCCTCTCTGAACTGGGAACTGGGATGGAACTGGCCCATGGTCAGGAGTGCAGCCTGGGTCTGTGCCAGCCCCACCATCTGCTAGGTCCAGTTATTGAATTTGAGGAGGGATCCTAGAATTCCTCTACTGCTTAGAGGAAGAGGAAAGTAAAGAGCTGGAGCACTGTGGCCAGAGGCTTGGCATCCTCAGCCCACGACCGCAGCCCTTGTTGGGCACATGGACTGTCCTCTCAGCTGTGTGAAGCTGTGGTACAAGGTGAACACTTGAAGTTCCAGGGTCACAGTGTTCTAGAACTCCCATGGTGATGACAGGATGGAATACAAGGGGGATCCCGGGGCCCTGCCCTCTCCCTGTTCATGGTCTCCTTGAGAAGAGAGGGCAGCGTGTGATGGGATGCTGGCAGCAATCACCAGGTGCCACAGAGACGGGAGTGGGACCCAGGCCAGCTGAGCTCCAAGAAGGAACAGTCACTTCTAGGGCATCCATAAAGGCTTCAGGAAGGAGCTGAGATTGACAAGGGCTGGGACACATTCACACAGGGCACAGAAGGACGCTGGGATTGCAGTTGGCAAGGCTGATGCTTGAATTGACTGAGATTGGGGGTTCTCTTTCGCCCCATGTGCTTGTGTTTCAGCACATCTAAAAGCAAGGAACTTTCTCCAGGCTCTGGGCAGAAAGGAAGTCCTAGCTCCAGCCAGGGGACAGTCTGTGCAGGGACACAGCCAGGGGCACAGCCGGGTGCCAGCCCCAGCCAGCCACCTGCAGACCAGAGTCCACACACGCTTCGGAAAGGTATGTCACCGCCTCCCTCTCATCACTGCCACCCCTCACCATGGGTCCCAGGCTGGAGGTGGCTGTTGCAGCCCCTGAAGGCTTCTTTCCTCGGTTACCATGGATACTGAGAAACCCTGTGGCTTGAAGAACTGTTCCCATCTGGCTATTAAGCTTTTTTGGAAGTTAACCAACCTCGAGAGGGACTGTTTCACCATTATTCCTCAGGTCATTGTTTGGAAACGCGGGCTTGTTTGGGGAATATATTGGACAGTGCTTCCTCTACGCCAAATGATTCCACCAGCACAGGGCTCGTGGTCCAGGAGGACATGTGTCTTCCACAGACCTGGCAGGTCCCACCCTCCTTTGCCATTTGAGAAGCCCTGGAATGGCTAGGCACCTGTAGCTCAGTGGTTAAGGCGCTGGCCACATGCACCGGGCCTGCTAAACAATAAAAAACAGCCGGACATTGTGCGGGTGCCTATAGTCCCAGCTACTAGAGAGGCTGAGGCAAGAAAATCTCTTGAGCCCAAGAATTTGAGGTTGCCATGAGCTTTGATGCTATGGCACTCTACTAAGGATGACAAAGTAAGACTCTGTCTCAATATAAAAAAAGAAAAGAGAAGCTACGAGGAGTCCTCAGCAGGAGCCCCTGCCCTCAGGGCCGGCCTTGCACCGTTGCTGCCTATCCCAGGGCAGCTTGCATAAGGTTACAACTCCAGTTGTTCCTACAGTGTCCTGATAGCCAGGACTTCTCCTCTGGATGGCCTCACAGCTGCCCCTGAGCTGCCCCTAGAATTCTGCCTCTAGATCACATTGTAAAAGACCCAGTCGTTCTCTCTTCAGAGAATCACTCCCCAAAGCTAAAGATATGCTCCGGAGTGGTGTTTCATAAATCAGGAGCTATGCTGAGTGTGCTTATCTGAGCCCTTGTGGTGCTTTCTTCTTCTTTTTTTTTTTATTGTGTCATCTCTTTGTAAAGTCTTTCATTTATCTAAAATAGTATATTGTTTAATATGTTCCAAATTCAGGCCGTTCATACTTCTAGGAGGAGCTTTAACTCCAGGATCTGCCAAATAGGGCGGGTTCAGCCCATCCACACAGATCTCCACAGCGGGTCCCTTCCACCCTTCCTGGTTCTAGACCATAGTGGCTTCCTTCCTCCCTATCTGCCCTCACCCGCTCCTTTGATCCATCCCCATTTGTTCCTTATACATTCTATAAATGTTCATGGAGCCCCACTCAGTGCAGAGCTCTGTGCTGTCCAGAAATGTCAACACGCAGCAGTGAGGCAGAGGTGGTGCTGCTATGCTGGGGAGGTGTTCAGGGCACTGTGGGGACACACAGCAGCATCGAGGCGTTCAGGGCACTGTGGGGACACACAGCAGCATCGAGGCGTTCAGGGCACTGTGGGGACACGCAGCAGCATCGAGGCGTTC